ACCCCTGACAGAAGAAATACCACCAAAAAATTGTGGTACTGGAGCCCACTACATAATAGGACTCTTTAACCCCAGTTGGCAGCCAGTCTAGGAGTGAAACCCCGATTGATGAACAAATGGACGATCTCCTTTGCTCCTCCAGCTCCTGCAGCCGAACCAGTTCCAAACATACTGACACACCTGCCTTTCCTTTGGATTAAGCAAGCAAGGCCAAGATGGGGGACACTGGTGTGTGGGCAATTCAGTGTCTCCATATGCACTGCCCAGGTTTTTGCACCCTGAAGAAGTCACGTCAACTTCACTTTATTTCAAGTGAGGATTACATTCAGCAAGCTGATGTCTCAGTCAGTGCAATTCTACTGTCTTACAAGACAGATATCTACTGCTACTACTACTGATGATAATACTGTGATTTTCAGTTCTCATCTGTTCTCATCTGTCTTCTATGTTATTGGATGGAATAAATAGTATGCATCAATAATGATAATTTATTTTTGCAATTAATACTGTATTTGCCAGAATCCAGGAAGATGGTTTTAAATGTAGGATAACCACCCCAAATAGGTCATTTCCATACAAGGATAATTAGAGCATATTATATTTTTTTGTAATTTTCCATATATAGAATCTGATTATTGTAGGGTTGTCTTAAATCTGTTCCCAGCCATGGAGGGAGGAGGCAGGCAACCTCACCCCTGTACCTTGCTCCTCTGCCACTTGCCCCTCATGCCTGCACCCATGCCACCTGTCTTGACCTACCACTACCCCCCCATTCACCTGCCCCCCCCAATTTCCAACCCGCACTGCCACCTGATTCCCATCACGTGCTGCTGTCCACCCCTGCTGCTGCCCAATCCCCAACATCTGCTGCCTCCCGATCCTAATGCATGCTGCTGCCCAATCCCCTGCCTGCTTCCCCATGTGTGCTGCTGCTCCACCCTGTGACCCACGTTGCTTCCCAACCCCAGTTGGGTGCTGTTGTCCAATCCCCCAACACATGCTGCTTCCTGATCCCCTGTCCATGTGCTGCTGCTCCATTCCCCACCCACACTGCTGCCCCATTCCCCACCCGATCCTCACGTGCACTGCTTCCTGATACTTATACAAGCTGCTGCCCCATCCCCAACCTGATCCCTGACCACTGCCTGATCCTGAACCTACCTGGAGACAGGGTGCTGGTGGTATTCAGGTCCAGGATGAGGCATGTTTTTCCCCATGTTGCATGAGGGAAAAAAATTAATCTTGGATTCAAGTAAATACAGTAATACATAAGTTAAGTTTGGAAAAATCAGTGTGGATTTATATACAAACCATATGTTTTCATGAGAAAAAAGGAAGGAACGAAAATGTATAATGTTTACTTTCCTGTTGGAAAACAATTTTAATAAGTGTGCTTTTTTGCCTTAAAAATGTAGAGGCACAAAGCAGAAAAATATGAAACAGAGAACTTCACACATTTGTAGTAAAAAGACATGACAGTTACTTATCCAAAAATCCTCATATTGGCTTATATTTCTGTTTGAAGAGACTGTTGCATGTTTAATAAAAAACAAAGAAGAAAATCCAGAGTGTAATTTTTAATATGGTTTAAACCACAACCAAGAAGTCAAATAATGCAATGATACCCCAAGTCATTTAAACAAGTTCCATGCACATAGTGATATGTATTCAAATAATTCATAGGTGTATATTTCTGTATCTCTGATTATGGTCTGCATGTTTGACTAAGGTTATGTTCCATAGTGAAATCTTTGTATATTCCTTATCAGCATACCCTCATTAGTATGCAGAGAGTAGGCAGATTTGAAGGGCTACTTGAGCCTGTTTTCACTGTCTGTAATCTCTTGGGTCATATGTTTGATGTCAAAGTGCACAAGTGTAAAAAACAGGTGAGAGTGTGTAAGGTGAGAGGCAGGTTAAAAGGCAGATGAGCTTGTGTGTCTATAAGCCCTCCCTTCCAAAATTGTCAAGTCTGTTGTTGATCGTAAGTTATACAAAGGTAACCAAAAGGTTGGCCTATTGTAACCCACGTAATAATCTGCAGTGGAGTACCCCACAATTTTGGTGCAAACCGCAGGTATCAGTAAAAGGGAGAGATTCCAGACAGGAGCCACTCCCTGGACATTTTCAATCAACTCCACAGGTTAAAAGTGAGAACGGTATTCTGTAATGGGTCTAGGTGATTCACTATAGTAAAAACAGATGAAAAAAAAATCCCAGAGCCTAGCGCTGATGTAGAGCAGGACCTAAAAGATCTGAGATTCCTTGGCAACTTGATGAGGACCAGCAGAAAAAACAGGAACAGGCCTGACAGGACAGAGGAGTGACGGGTACCCCTGGGGGCATGGAGGACTGGTGGAGACCCCCCCCCAACAAATCAATGGTGTGAACCCCCCAAGCAGCATGGAGGAGCAATGGAGACCCCAGCAGAGCAATCGAGTCCCTTGGCAGTGTGGAGGAGCAGTGCAGAGCCCCAGCAGGGTGGTGTGGAGGAGCAGGGGAGACCCCCCCATTAGTTTGGAGACCCCCAGCAGTGTGGAGTGTCAGAGATCTCCAGCGGAGCAATGGAGACCCCCCCACCCCCGCCCATGGTGTGGACGAGTGGCAGAGACCCTGGGCAGAGGGGTGGAGACCCCTGGAGGTGGCATCCACAGCAGTGCTTCCTGGCATCGCACCCTAGCACCGCTCTCCAGCACCAGACAGTAACCCTGCCCATACTTCGGTTGGCCTAGGAGCCTGGGTGGTGGAGCCACAGAAGGGCGGCAACCCCTGGCAGTGGGGGCCAGCAGGGCCTGCGGGGTGGGCCTCTGTACCCAGCACTTCCTACTAAGCTGGCGCAGGCGGTAGAGCCCCTGGATGGCAGCCTGGGCAGAGACTCCCTTGCCCGTGACGGGCCGGGGGCTGGTTTCCTGCTCACTATGGCTGCGATCCATTCTGAGCTACAGCTGAGCTTTTCGTTAAGATCTTGCTCAGGGTGCCCCTTGCTCCCCTTGTCAGAAACCCGTTTTCATTTAACACGTGCTTGCCGGTGGGCAGATTGGTTCACATTACAACACCAAGCTCAAGGTGACTTCACCGAGTTTCTGGGTGGGGCTTGAGGTGAATTTGAAGCGCTGGGGTAAAGCCACACGTGGCGGAGTGGCCCCAGAAGGATTTTGCCCCGTAATCCCAGCCTCATTGTATTCAAAGCTGCGCGCCCGACGCGTGATGTCACTTTACATTTGTATTAGTAGGTATTCACCGCGGGCGGGGCGGGGCGGGGCGGCCGCAACGGCGCTGACAGAGCGTGGAGCAGCAGAGGCAGAGCGGGGCGCGCAATGCGCATGCGTTGCGGAGCTGTGCCTTAGCCGCCATCCCAGCAGGCCTTGCGCGGAGGCGGGCCCAGGGTTCCTGCCAGACAGCCCCGCCCCCGGCGGCGGTGGCGGCGGAGGCGCGGGCGCGG